CAAAAGATATTTAAGAATTTTCCTATATATTGCTATGAACAAACATTGTGTTCCCATCCTTCCCAATGCGTCATGCATAAAGAAACCCGAATCTACACTTACTGATTTACCTTCAATATAATTTTTACTTTTGATGACTTTACGAAAAAGTTAGATTTTTAATATTTTTCTCACCGATTCCTTTGCAAAACTTTGATGACCTATTGTGGCCATACCCTACACAGGAATAGGCAAGACTCTAGCGACTTTTCATGACCATTCAGTCACTCATTGACATGCCGTTTTGTTCTGTTTGCTTTCAGTGAACGTTTATTCGTATTTTAATGATTTTTTTCTTTACGTTTATTGCTAGTTTTCTTGTCTTTACAACAGGATTTCTGCAAGCAATTAGGCTCTCTTCAATTTACTTTTTAAAAACAAAATGGTTCGATACCAGATTTAGGCATAAAATTTAATCTCATTTAAATTTTTTAAAGAAAAAAATACAAGTAAATGATATTAACTGAAAACAAAATTGGGAAGTCTCTAACATTCAGTCAACTGAATGATAATTGAAAGACCGTAGAAAATTTACCGGAAAGGATATTTTCTATATCATTTCAGTTTGCATTCACTGTGCATTTAGTTACAATTTCGTTGACTAAAGGGTGTAATGACATCCTATACTATTTCCAGCTTGGGCTATAATTTCACCAAACTCGAATCTACACTTAATCAGGATCCTACTGAAAAATGCTCGTTGCTTTGCTTTTCCTATGAATTGAAATATATGGGCAAAACGAATAATATTCAACCTCAAAAGTCCATTAATAATACACATTTGAAGCAGAGCAAACATGGACCTTGTTTTTTGAATATCTCGTAATTTATATTCAAACTCTTTTAATGTATGTTCTCTAATCTTGTGATGTATGTACAATATTTCGTTATCTATAATCAGAAACTTTTTTCATAACCGGGGTAGGGTGATTCTTATATGCTAAAACATGCACGTATGTTGGTAGTTACATGACCGGATTTTCGGAATTTTCAATGTTTAGTGTATATAATTTCCTATTATATAAAACCATATATTGAAGCTTTTGTAAACATGTACACACTTACAAATCTAAATAGACACTAGACAAAATTGCTAACGCACCACTTAAAATTCTTTTTTGTGAATTGAACATTTGCCTAAACGGTATTAGTATATATAAAACGCCATATTTCTCCAATACAATGGGATGGGCAAATGTCTTGCTGTCAGGGCAAAACCCCAAAATGACTTTCTTGCCCAAAGCCATTTTCCCGATATGCATTGCGTACCTCTTTTTTGCCCAGATATATGCATTGCTAATTATCGATGATGGTCCTTGAGGTTACACCAGAAACAGTCTCCCGGTTAAAAAAATCAAATAATATGCAGCTGTTGACTATTATTTCGCCTGCTAGTCATCCAATGCATCGTTGTCTATACCCAGTCCACTAAACTTCCGGTTGCCCCAATTTTGTGGAACGACATTGAAATTGTAGTAGTGTTTACTTAATGGCTTGGCCATCTAGAGTGAACATTTTTTTTGTCTACTAATCTATTTCTAAAGAAACCCCTTGCAGACAGCATGATGTCTGTTTTAACACGCTCACCTGGGATCAAATGCCGCATACGGTATGAATTTTTTCTTCTGATTTTCTAATTAATACAAACATAAAGAACAAAATTGAAAAGAAAAGAATAGAAAATTATCTCTCCAATTTAGTATGGATACGGTTTTCACATTTTCTATGAAATAGCCATACTTCAAAAAACATTGTAGTTATTTATCAATAAAGACATTTAAATGCTTTATTTTTTGATTTTGTAGCATAATACATCAAATATATCTTAAACAAGTTTTGAAAAGTAAAATATTACTTTCATTTGTGGTTCGTTAGCACTTTTGTCTAGTGCGTTAAAGAAAGACGTTTCAAGTTAAAAGAAAAGAAGCAGCAAGGTATTGCAATAACCAATGTTGACGAAGATGATAATACTTGTTCGGACAGCGTGCAAACTTCAGAAGGGGGGGGGGGCAACTGTTTCTCGGTCTTTTCAAAAAGTGTTTGTTCTCTGTGTTCATTTTTGGCTCTCATTAGTGCAGGTATCCAATTTCTTGTTTAATAGTATTACTATTGTAAAGACTCCATAAAATGTTAACATATTTTATGATTGTTTATAAATTTTATATTTTTAAAACAAATTTAATTCGAAAGGAAATAAATATATTTTGTTAATCTTCAATAAACTATTTGCCCAGGAAAATGTCCTGCATAACTTTATGTTCATAGCAAAATGTTCATGAGATAAGAAATAAAAATATTGAACTAGTAGCATACACTCCCCACTTTACTTCAAATTTTACCGAATTCTTCGATCAAATTTGTAAAATGATCCGGTACTTTTTCTCTCGAAAGAAAGGCTTCCGAATACATAAAGATAATTCAGTTTCTTAGGAAAATGTTTGTGTTATTTATCCTTTAATGAGCTTATTGAAAAATAAATGTAGACTTGACTTTTATTTTTATGCAGATTTAATATTAATTATAATTTATTAAGGTAATTCTGCTTAGAAGTTGTACATGTTAAAAGAAGATGAAAAATCAATACTGATATTCTTTTATACATTTTATAGGATTTTTTTTCAAAGGACTGTAGAGTGTCTGGTTATTTATACAGAGGATCTATAAACGTAACAAATTCTGATCTACCATGTTAAGTATGGGATACACAGAGCACCTTTCTGCACCCCAAAAATATCAACAAAATCATTTGAACCTACAGTCAATTTTTTTTATTTCAAGCAGTAATCTTATGTATTAAGATATAAAAAGAAAATTAATTTTGCCCACCGTGATGTTATTTCTTCGATATTACTACATCACGTAATTTTTTTTAAAGTTTAAATTGGATATTTTAACTCTACTGGTCAAAGACAAGAAGAGCTTATGCGATAGTTGTGTGACCCTCGCCCGTCTGCCCATATCTGTCTATCTAGCTGTCTGCATTTTTGTCTGTCCGTCTGTCTGTATGTAGTTGTGGATAAGAGATGGGCGGACGGACTTCCCCATTACTATACACTCTTCCTTTTTTGAGCAGGGGTATAATAATACTAGAATCAACATGTACACAGTACGAGGGCTGTTCAAAAATTACGCGGACTTGTTGCACAGAAAAAATATTTGACGACATAATCCGGCAAAATCTCACAAATAATATAAAAGAATCTTTACGTGTAAGGTCTTCAAAATATCATATCAAAATGATGTAAATTGGTATAAATTTTGAATAATTTTTCAGGACATATCATTAAGTCACGGGGCAGCAAAATCTTCGACGTCACAGGCATTATAAAAAAATGTGTTATTGAGCTTTCATTTTCTCAATATTTTCCCAAGAGTTCCTGTACAGTTTGAGTTACCTTATCTACTCAACATCCAAACACCATTTCTTGTCAAGCTTCAAATCTATTAAACAAATAAAGAATATTCTTTTTTTGGTTTAAAACTATAAACTGCAGATATTTATGAGATATAGTGTGATATTGGTGACTCTCAAACACGTTCTTTACAGTCCGGATAAAGTTTTCGTCGATAATCTTCTTCCCGTCCTCTCGTAAAGCCTTTTTACAGAGGTCTAACGGTATAAAATTTCAATTGCTTTTTGTGGACGAATGTCGCGAATATCCTAGTTTACTATATGTTTTATTATGCATATTTTGGATCTATGTTGGTGATATCTCGATCATTACACATAATTTAACAAAATGTGGTGGGCGGCCAATTCATGAGACGTCATTTTCACAGTCGTTTTCACGAGAATCGCATCAGAGAAAAATCATTATATTTCTGTTAGTACTAGTACTCGAAATGCATAATAATAGAACACTTTTAAGATAAATTTGAGAAAATTGTCGAAAAATATCGCGAATTATAGAAAATTAGTGAGTTAAATTTTGGATTCCGCATCTTTTTGCTTAAGATTTTCTTGTCGTGCTCCGTACCTCTCCATCAGCAATATCAACAAACCGATAATTTTAGTAGAATTCTTTTAAAGAACAGAAATTTGCCCAAAATTTATTGGAATCTTTAAGATACATATTTCTGTGAAATTTTATAACTATATGACGTCTATAAGAGTAAATAATAGCACAGTCCGCGTAACTTTTGAACGGCGCTCGTATTTCAGGTCAAAAGTCCATTAGCACTTCAAAAGAAAAGCAAAACATACACGGATCTCCAAAACATCGGGTACCATGGAGGATTGAGCATTCCCTACTGATCAATTACATAAACCGTGTGTTCCTTGTCATGATAGGGAAATAACGAGAAACCCGTTGAAGATTCAGTTTGTAAACAAAAGTCAAACAATTATTTTGAAAAAAAAACATCAACCAGCATTTAATTTCTTTTTCTTCGTACATTAAACTACAATGTTTAATCTCTAAATGTTTGTTAGAAGCTTGCTCCTCAAATGGAAGAAAAAAATGAAAATGATACTTAAAGTGCCATGAAGACAGAAATATTCAAAATTGATATATTTTACCTTCATGAATAGTGTCTGACTAATCCTTTTTAATCTCCACTATTCGGAAAGGTAAAATAAGGGGAATTTTTCTTAGTGTCATTCTTTTAATTATGTTCAACTTGTATTTAAAGCTGCTTTTCTCTGTTCATTTTGGTGTGATGAAAGCCATATTTAAAAAAGCACACACCAAGAAACATTTTTTTTTGTTCTATATCAAAATTTAAAATTAAAGTTAAAATTAGATACTGTACAAAAATTTATTGTAAAAACCTGGTCAGTATGTCTTATATTTCTTCCTGTTGAAAAACACTGTATATCCTTTTTCATGAAAAAAAAGATTTAAAGGTGAATCAATTTAGAAACTGTCACATAAGAATGCATTAACAAGCTCTTGGATCCTCGATAATTAGGTTTTTGTCTTGAAGTATAAACCTTCGTACGACGGAAAGATGATTTGAGTCTATTTCAACATAAACTTAATTTGTTTGATAGCTTTTGTTTTCAGTTCAGCAACAAACAAAATGTTATTTTTGTCTATACTAAGACCATATGGTTTTTGTAATCCACAGTTGTCTATACATAGAAGGAATTGTCCATCCTGATCAATTATATGTATGATATTGGCACCACTATCGGCAATTAAAATATGACCCTTTCTGTCTGTGGTAACATCACGAGGAATAAATTTTCCATATTTCTTTGAATGCATTAAAAGAGGGTTTCCATCATACGTGAACCTTAACTGTCCTTCACTGCTTAACACTCTTACCGATTCTGTATGCATATCGCTCAAGATGATGTCAAGGTTTTTATTTTCATGAATGAACGCCAGATGAGATGTTAATATTTTTTTGTTTTTGGTATTTAATTGTATTTCCTGCTTAACAGTAGAGCCAGAAAAACGAGTAATTTTTCTTTTTGTTGGCATTTCCACTCTGTATTCGGATCTCAATTGTACCAGAAAGTCATCAGTGGAGGTACAGCATATGGCACCAGGTATCCAGTCTTTTTCCCTTATAAGGCATTCCGTCTTGTCGCCCTTGACAATATTGATACTTCTATCATCCCCGTCAATGTACACCAAATGTCCCTCTCTGGTTACGGTCAAATCAGCTGGTGCGGATCTTGTTGTGGTGGTGATCTCCTTAAGCAGTTTACCTTCGGAGTTCATGTGTTTAACTATACCACTGTTATCACTAACAAAGAATTGATTAGTGTCAGGAATACAAGCTACCTGAGCTCTTGGAAATCTATCATCAGTACATTTACTTCCAACTTCAAGTGACAAAGACGTATTTTCACATGTATGTATACTCTTTAAGACAAATGATTGGTTAGATTTTAAGACCTCTCCATTAATTAAAGTTTTCTTTGTGTCCGGAATCTCTCCAATTATTTGACACAGACCTTGCTCTGTAAGTTCTCTAGGATTAAATGAAGACACGGTTAATTCAAATCTGGAAGGAATATTTCGAAATTCTTCATTTTTGGAAGTGTATCTAACAAGTTGGGATAGATCATTTGAAGAAAGGATCGAGCGATTTTTATCTATTGCTGACCGAATTAAGGATTGTTTCTTCTGAAAATATAATTTTAAATTCTGTATTGAGTCGGTATCCTTTCTTTCATTTCTTATTGAATCACGCTGATACTTTTCAAAGACCTTGTCTATAATTGTGTGACATGTTTTACTGAGGTCATGCATAGTTTTCCGTCTTTCATCATGTTTTTCGATTATACTTAATGACGTTGCTTCGATTCCAGACACAATTGATTCATACACAGGCGCAATGTCTGCTTCAAGTTCATCTAAGTCTTTTTTTATGAGAGCTTTTGTTGAGCTATAAATTTTAGAAATTTGTAAGACAGTGTGCTTTTCATGTGATCCAGATGCAAGGCATTTCAAACAAAGTAAAGAGTCACATTCTTCACAAAACAGGTCACTTATTTGTTCTTGATGGATACAACACAGTGGTGGGATGATTTCAGATTTTTTGAACTCAAAAGTAACAACATCATGTCTTAAATTTGGATCGGAGATCATATGGTGACCTACACATTCCTTACAGAGATTGACCTGACAAGTGTTACACACAGTTTCTGCTGTGGATTTTCTAGTTTTTCCAGGGCAAAGTTGACATCGTTTAACGTCTTGTGCTCCAGAGAATAGATCTGACGCTGTTGCCATTTTACGAGTGATAGTTGTACCTTTGTAGACAAGAAAAATGAAAGATGTGAAACAACTTTCCACCCCAAAAATTGACAGATTGGCTAAAATGCTAGTAATTGATGCATGTATGTAATTTAAACATTAAAAATTAAAGATATATTTTTGTTTTTTTCTTACCTTCCTTGTCTGTCACTCGGTTACCCTGAATGAAGGTTATTTCAACCTGGAGATAACAGACCAGAATGACAATTTATTGATCCTGTGCTAGAAAATGATTAAGAGACTGATACTTAAATTGATTTAAATGTCTCTCTGTAGCTTGCATTTTAGAAGCTATGCAAATAAAAAAAATATCAATGCATGCTGCACTAAGTCTTTTCATATAATATACCTGCTTTTATTGTGTCGTCATATCAAGTTTATTCATCTTTCAAATTGCTTTACGCTCCTATTCTTTTTTTTTTTTACTTAAACATTTCAAAAATACATATTAATTCATTTTTATGCACTAATAAAAATTACGTAATGTTTGAACATAAATGAAATATAGCCCTGCTGTTCTTTTTAATAGATGCATTCTCTTTTGCCTAAAACAATCCTTTTATATTTTAATGATGTGAAAATTTAGGCTTTTACATAATTTATTTTTTTTAATTTTATATTTTTTTATGTTTAAGAAAATAATGCTCTTTTGATGATAATGAAAAAATGAAATATAATTGTTAGTATAACTAAGGATAGGTTTCTAAACAACTTATATATGTAGATAAAGGGGCTCTAAAGTTTCATTTCCGGATAAATAATCCAGTTATTCCAAAAATAGCCGACAAGCGTTATGCACTATAGTTTTGAATTACTTGTATTTAAAGACTATTTTAGTCATGTGATTTATGAGGATGATTTCAATTCTTTTTTGTGAATGTTAATTTCTAGTCAGCATTTCATAAATTTAAGAAAAAGAAACAAAATGTAGATGAAATGATTTAGAAATAGTTGGGAAAAAAATGTAAAGTCGAATTAAAGACCGTTCTCTCCATATCAGACATTGTAAAGCGTATTAAGTAAATGTGTCTTGAAAATCGTTCCTCGTTTCAATAAGACTTAATAATATATATGGATAAAACGTGTTTTTGGCTTTGAAATTGGATTCAATGTATTACACTAAAATAAATGTATAATTTTTCAACTATAAAGTTTCATTTTGTTAAATTTACCTTCTCTCGTCTTCGTGCTCTGTAAACTTAAGTTGGTTTAAATCATTAACCTTCGTGTAAATAGTAAAGAGATTCACAAAAATACAAAAGAAGACCCTTGTCGTCTATAATTATTAAAATATCCAAACATGAAACGGTTGTTACTAGCTATTCTATTTGCTATAAATGCTGAAATATTCAAATAATGTATAAAAAAGAACGCTTTTGATATAACTTTAATAAAAGAAAGGAAACTTCACAGATGACTAATTAAGCTAAATACAAATTTTTAGTTTTGAATAGGAATTCATTTTTTCCTAGTATATTGAATTAACCAAAATTGCTGAGCAATAAAAAGCTAAGTATATTAGATACATTACCTGTAGGCCTAAGTATTTTTTTTTTATTTGTTTAACGTCGCTCTTTGGTTTTTTCCAACTCATATTGAGACGCCACCACTTTAATATTAAGAACTCAAGTCAAATGTGATCTGATTTATGTCAAATCTTTCTCTTTTTTGATCTGATTCATCATTAATTAATGTTTAATGTCTAACATAAATAAATTTCATGTACAATTATCTCATTGAAAGAATGTATGAAACGATAAAAAAATCTTTATACTTTATCTGCATGATTTTTATGGCCAATATGATAAAAATTTCATTGGCACAAATGAGGTACCATATACGTAGTGCAAGAATTAAGATCAATGTCCATAACAATGTTAGGCTAGGAATATCGCCTAAGTAATTTTAAGATACCACTTTAAACACGTGGCATATATTTTAAACAAGGAAGATAACATGAGATTAATATGGAATCTGTTAGAAAAGAGGTGAGGTTACTGATATATATGTATATAACCTTTTATCTTTAAATATCTGTGTTTTTACTTTCTTTTGTTAATAAGGCAGGGGATTTAAACATAAGGGGCGTCTTTCGCGACAAAATTAAAATAAAATCATTTAATTTAAAAAATGAATTATTCTTAAATGTAAGTGCAACGAATTTATAGCTCATTTAGAATTCTTCGCCCTTTAATAGAATCTTCTAAATTATTGTGTCTTAAGACCTTGTGCATATCAGTCAAAAGACCCATCAAACGCAAAAATCGCACGATTATAGTTACTTAGGTATTCAATGTATAAAGACCATATTCTGTACTTAATAGTCTAATGATCCGATTTTGCTCAAATCGTGGTAGTATTTTGAAGACCATAAAAAACGCGGAACCAAAGGAATTTACAAAATGATTATTGTTCAATTAATTGCACCCTTAATTTTACATTGAAGTCTATGGACAGTGCATGTTTTTATCACATATTGTAAAAAGTAATTCAGTTTCAAACAAATCTCTTGGTGAAAATATGTATTAACTCCCTCTTTATTGAACTATGAAAAAAAAATATTTACCGAAATTGAGAAATCAAAAATTGTCTTCTTTTCATCAAGGGTAGATAACACTTCAAAAACTTATAACGTGGAAAATAACTGTCCCCTCACATGTTATCAGTCTTGTGAAATTGTTTCCTTTCGCTTTTATCATTATATAGTAATGTTTTTTTAACTAGTTTAGAATTATTTAAAATCGATAAAAATTCCTTTATTATACATTGAATACCTTAATGATTCAAAGTTATTTTAAATTTTAATTTTACCTAATGATTTTTTAATGATAAGTGGACAATTCTGGTTGAAGCATTTTTAAACCAAAGAAAGATTGAAAAAGATATTGGCTTAAATTGACTTCTATACAGGGTTATATACAAATTAGTTTTCAATAGCATATTTATTGTTTAAGTGATATTATAACTCACGTATGGCCACATACTTTAAATAGATTACATGTAGTTTTTCTATTTCAGTTGCAAATATACAGCTAAATATGATCATATAGTAAAAATATTTATTAAGAAATCCATTTTATTTCATGTATGTGGATGCTGTAAGCACAAGAAGTTTCATGGCTTCATACCAATGCTTACAATTGTAATATAAAATGTATAATAAATAAATATTTGAAAGACACATACAATATTTTGGTTTTAAATGCAGGTTAGCATTTGCTGTTGATCGTTAGCACCACAAACATTATCTAATTAGATGTT